CAACCCACTTCTGTCTCTTCCCACGTCACTTCACCAAGAACTTGTTGATAGGTCACAGACAAAACTTGAACTACGCCAACCTGGGCTTTCTTAGAAAAGTGATATGATGTGAAATGTTCAGCACATCTCGTTTCACTTTCATGGAAACAGCTAATTATCTATCAATCCATAATCTCTAAAATGACTCTCAGATGCTAATTAATCATTGATGCTGACATTTGTTGCCCTTTGAGCTAAGGCCTCATGGATTTTACACTTTGTTTAGCCATTACCTTTGAAATGTCCCCTGTCATCAATAATTGCAAGAAAAGCATTTCCGTGTTAAGCAGGAGAAAGCTTCATTCCCTCAACCAGTGGGAAAGCCCAGCCTCCCTGTATGTGGAAGTGAATGCACATACTTCCCTCCTCGACCCCGGAAGGGCTGAGTCTGGATTCCAGGCCCCTCCAAACTACCCAGCAGCACTGAGCTCTGTGCCCTTCCAAAATGGAGAGTTGGCTGAAGACATTATTCTGGAGCCAGAAAACATCTTTAATGGCTAAACTGGCACCCACCACGAGAGGAAAATGGGCAGAACCCTGGATCCACCCTTACTCAGGGACTTACTTTGTGTTTCTAGGGTTACACTAATGGGTCTGAGGAGACCATCTGTCTGGCCATCTCTTGGTAATTAGACTATAGGAGGGTATCCAACATGAAGGCCTTGGGATGCTCTGGCTCCCTTTTGGCTTACTTAGCTCTTCAGTGGAATGGCCTTGTGGGACGGGTCTTCTCACACTTTTGAAGCCATGTCTTTAATCTGACCAGTTCCTCGGGTGTTTTATACAGGGTGGTTGCAAACACGAAACACCTTCAGGCTTTGCTCGGCAGTCCTGCACACCTGTGTGCATGAGACTGGATGTCTTATTTCCTGGAAGCACTGTCAAGCATTATGTTTCTCAGCTCGGTTTGCTAAAGTGTACAGACAGAATGGAGCACCAGCCTTCTGCTTCCTGCTTGCTCTGGTTCCAGTCTTCCAGGCAGCTCTGGGGTTCAGGGTGATGCCTCCTGCATCCATGCCACCTCTGCCTCTATGGAAATTTCCCAGTCATGGATTCCTCAGAACATGGGACCTTTGTTCTGAGGTTCCTGTTTTTCTGACAACGAGTCTTCTTCTAGGACCTGAACCAGGCTGCCCACTAATATCTTCCCACTGACCCTGCTGATCAAGGCCTGTGCTTTAACTGGCCATCAACCTACCAGGCAGAAGATGGTCCATTATAGGATCAAAATAAACAAGAGTCCCTTGGACACAGGAAGAACAGAACTTGGGTGACTGGTTAGACGTTAGCAGACTTGCTCTGGGAGCCTCTAGAATGTCTTCTGTTACTCTCTGCTTTGTGTCACGTCATTTGACACCCTACCTGATATCTTGTTCCCTGCAATGACTGGAGAACCCTGGCCTTCTGTAGTGTGATCCCCAGAGATTCCACTGCCCCATTTGTACATGCAATTGATACAGGGGATGTTGTGCTCCGATCCCAGGTGCATGGCCTTGTCCTTTGTCCTGCTTTTCTATGGAACACAGAAATGTCTGCCTCTCAGTGCAGTGAAGGAAGAGCCGGTGTACTGGGCGGCAGGGGGGCATGGATAACAGTAAATTATGGCTTGCTCATAGCTGATAAGCATACCGTCAGGAGATGCTCTCTGAGTAATTGTGATCTAAGCCTCCCACTGCTGAGACAGAGCTCCCAGAGCTCCCTGGGTTTAGGCAATGATGCACATCCACATCCACGGAAGCTGATGATGGGGTACCACCACCTCCCATGCTGTACTTGTCCTGATCTGGCCATGCCACCAAGGAACTTCTGCACTCTGACTTGAATGGAGCTAGTTCAAGATGGCCACTACTTTCTGGGGAAAGGGTAGCACTGTTTCACTGTTGCAGAAGATAGATGTGAACAGTGACCCGTATAGAAGATGCATTACGGCTCCTGCACCGCTGGAGGTTTCCAGTGTGCCTGGCTGACCAGGGACAACAGACACTGGTGAACCTCAAGAGTGTGAAAGCAGCAATGTCTTGAGATAACAGAGATGATTGTCAAGGCTCTCCCTAAGGAGGAACTCCATCCCTGGAGTGGATGCACACAGCTCCACATGCGGAGGAACTCTCTTCCTGGGAAAGAGAGGTCATGGCTTCCCAGGGGGAGAAGCGCCATCCCTGAGCAAATTCTGCTGTCAGGAGTCTGGTCCCTAAGACTTCATACATGTGATGCCAGAATTAAAGAGGATGTCATTCTAGGTGCCTACAAAATCCCTCTCGGCCACACTAGCAGCAGAAGTGAGAACTGGAAGCTGCTATTCTCAATAGGGTGGCTAGGTTCCTCTGCTTCTCAGAGCAAGGAAGAATCCCCCTCCAGAGTCTGGTGCAATCTTCCAACATACACATCCTTAGCTAAAGGGCCACTTTATAAGGCAAGGAAGGTTCTCTAGCTTAAGCAGAGCTGAAGTTAGGAATGCACAAAGAATTCAAGGGAGAGAACACTGCCCTCCTCACCCTCTACAATACTGTACAGGTCCCAGTGAGGAGGCCTAATTCTGATTGGTCCATAGGATGGAGCCCCCTCCATCCATGTATAGGTATTTTGTGTTTCTCCTTCAGTATGGTATCCTGTATACTGCCCAGATAGACTTCGCTGCAGAGCCCCCGCTACTATCAGCTTGTTCATCAGAGAGGAGAGGGCCAGGAGTTGCCCTCTATCAGCCTAAGACAGCAGGGCATCCGGGATTTTGTATATCCAGTGCGACCTCTATGGCTCTGTCCCTCCTTTCAGGCCTGAACCCTCCCCAGCTGCAGCTCAGTCTCACAGCCCTGCTCCTACGCACCACAGCTGACCTAACCAGATGAATGGCCTCCTCCCCACTAATACCACTCCCTTGTTCATCACATCTTCTAGAAGAACCCTGAATTTGGTGGCTCCACTCTCAGAAGCCTACAATAGTCTCATGTAGTCCTTTTCCTGGGATAGAATATTCTCCTCCAATGGGGACAACTCCTGCCCCATTTTGTGAATCCCGAACATCTGCTGTAGCAAGGATGGGGTTCATTTATATCATGGTCATGTATGGAGTCCCGCTACCCAAGGCAGGAAGGTTCCTATTCTGATTTAACAATTCAGAGGCTGAGGATGTTCATGCAGGGAGTGGGAAAGCTACAACCCATGAGCCTTGCTGACCATCAGCCTGGCCCATTTCCTATCCCTTATTGAATCGTTATATCAGAAGAAGGTAAGCCACAGGGTTCAGTTAGATGATTCTAGTGTTCAAGGTCACATCTAGAGGTACAGTCTCCTGAGGGCCGCTCCATGGATGCCATGGCATGAGGTATGATCAATGGATGTTTCTACACATAACCCCTCAGCCCCAGGTTCTGGCACAGAACTGCTGGGATTCCTGAGTCCTGATAAATGCTAAGAGCTTCCTTTGCTGAGTTCTTTTTAGTATGTTCAGGATGGGGACTTGTCTCCATAAATCAGGATATCCCACTGTAAGAGCCTACGACTCCACCGCAACCTCCCAGAGAGGTAGGGCTGGGTTCAATCATTTGGCTATCTAAATAGGTCTCCATAGGGATACTGCCATTGAAATAGAACAGTAATCTGGGCATCTTCCTGGTATGCAAATATGTTCAGTTGCCAGATGCCCAAAAAAGGCATAGAGGCATTACGCCCTGTCCCACCCCAGGGCCTTGTGTTTCTCTCCCATCACGCAGCTCCTGAGTCATATCCTTTATAATAAAACTGCAATCATGGCTAATCACAGTCGAGTACTTTCCTGAGTCCTGTGAGTCACTCCAGAGAATTATCACCAAAATCAAGGGGAGGCATGGGGGGCCCTGGGTTTGCAGTCAGCTAGACAGAGTGTGGGTAGCCTGCTGAGGCTGCCTGCTGTCTAGCATCTTTATGAAATAGTCTCCCGGGCCTGAGCCTTTAGCCCAGGGGTCTGATGTCAACTTGTAATCTAGTATCTGGAGTCAGAATCGAACAATAGACTCTGAGAGCCCTGGGATCCATGGGCTCGGGGAAGCAGTACCCAGTCCCTCCCAGAGACAGAGCCGAAGAGGGGGAGCAGGAGGTCACTAATGCTGCAATAGGGACACCACCCTACAGAGAGAGAAAAGATCCCCTTTCTCGCAGTAGGGTGGAGAGCCAGCACATGGCTACAAGGTTCAAGACGCCCAGCACAGTAGATGTGAGGCCCTAAGACCAGAGACACAAGCCATCGCTGTGCTTAGAGAATGCTGTGCCCTGATGGCACGATAGCAGCTCCCAGAGGGCGCATTGCCCCGAACCCCCACTGCAGCCCCCAAAGGGCACATTGCTCCAATCCCCCCATTGTTGCTCCTGGAGGACACGCTACCCGAATGCCACCAGCGCTATTTCTCTTAGCTGGGCTTAGCGTGTCCTCCCAGCTGCATACTGCACGCCGATTGCCAGGTTTTAAAACTAATTTTTACTATAATAACCTTTTTATCCCGATTCCAAATTACTCCATTAGAAAAGGGCACTTTTACAAACCAAAGACTGTGGCTCCCTCGTGGAAGGTGCTTTGGAGTAAGGCATACTCAGAGATCAGGCATCCTCTCAGGAAAGCCGGAGAGAGCGAGACACAGCTTTAATTAACAGTTACTTCCCAATGCTCCTCCTTCAGGAGAGGGTAGAGACTCCTGAGCAGCTCACGGCAGGCTACATTTACCTCGAGCTGCTGATCTATGGGCAACAGCAATGCTGTTCTCATTCATACAAATACATCAGGACAGAGAAACTCATCACTTACACGCCATTTTCCTTGCTACAGATGTGACAGCATGGAGAATTATTCCTGCCCTGGGGTGGAGATTTTGTTTTATTAAGCATAACACACCTAAGGAGTATGTATGCATGCACTTTCTCTCCGATGACATTAAGCGGACTCTGGGATATGGGATTGTGTTTAATAGCTCTTGGCTTTAGAGGTATCTTACCAGGGGGATCCGGGCACAGGCGTGGAGGCCACAGGTCTATTGCCCTTTGCTGCCGTCTCCTCCCCTCTCACCAGGATGGGTGGAGGCTCCTTTGAATGAAAGAGAAGGGGAGAGATGATTGTTTTAATTCTGAACACTCTCTCTATTCCAGTAACAAAGAGGAAAGGAACCAAGTGCCCAGCCGGCTCAGCTGTCTGTTCCCAGCAATGACTACTGAGTAAAGCATCACAGAAAGGAGGCTCTCAGTTTGGGCAGTCACAAAGAGGCTTGAACTGACAATGGACTACATTACATATACGTCTAGAGCAACCCACCAGAGGCAGCTTCTAGGGTCCCCATTTGTCGGCTCTCAGATCCAAAGACACAGGGGAGTCATGAGAATGCCACAGATTGGTAGGGGCCAGGCACAGAAAAATGTCACTGAGCTCATATCCAGGCTCATAGGCTTGAGTCACTGTGCCATGAAATCCCTGTGTACAGTGACAGAGAACCTCCATGCTGCAAGGGATCCTAGACACAGGCAGGGCTAACATCTGGGGCTATTATGGCAGAAGAAGTGACAAGCCTACTCTACCCTAGACTGGCCTGGAACTCAATATAGAGCCTAGGATGGACGTAAACTTGCAGTGATCCTCTTGTCTCAATCTCTTGTCAATCACCACACCTAGCTCAAGCTGCCATCCTTAAAGGAGAATGGAGTCCTAGACAGGTTTGGCTGCTCTGGAGGTGAGGGTATTCTTCACCTTTCTGGATCGCTTTGTTCAGACAGCACTTAATGGGTCATTTTTCAAGGTACATGTGATTCTGAGGCTCAGCTGGGTTTGGGAAGTGTCAGGTTTTTTGTCCTAGAAGAAAATGAAGATTTATTCTCTCCAGTCCAAAGCAGCAGCAAATGGACCCTTCTCTGTGTTCATTTCAGATGGCACTGGGGCCGGGGAGGCAAATCTTGTTTGAAATGAAAAACTCTGGACAATCCCAAGTCCAATAAGGACCCAAAGCCGAGACTCGGGCTGTCATTCCCAGCTGTCCTACTTCAGACAGTCATGAATTCTTGGTTCAACAATGCGCTGAAGCCTAATTCCCACCATGAAAGAGCAACATCAAGAGAGGAGGCTCTTCAAAAGAAAGGAATTCTAGGTTCTAGGAAAGAAAGGAATTCAGAAAGCATAAATTCTAGGGATAAGGACCCTTCTAGACCTTTGTCCCCAAACCCACCCCACCTCACCATGCCCAGCAGTTTTCATGACTTCATTATCAACCTCAGACCACAACAAAGATGATGCAGTTGAGATTAAAGGGCAGGTGGGTTGTTTGGAATGACAGCCTGTTTTCAGCTGAGGGTTTCATAACTGCATAGCAACTTGACATTTTAGAACCTGGTTTTGCCAGCAACAATGCCGGGGAATATAAAGGCATGTGCAGAAAAGCATGACTGACCACTTGCCCAAGCAACTCTAAATGGAGTTAGTAGCCATCCCAGTGGCAGAAACATCCAACACGGGGTCAGTGCGAGAAAGGCAGCGGTGGCACCAGCGTCTGGCACCAGGGACCAAAGCCCAGGACAATGCTGCAGACACAGCTTGCTTTCCTTGTTACTCTTCTGGGTAGGGAGAAAGGAAAGCAGCGAGTTGTGGACACCCTGGGCATAAATTTCTAATGTAGTGAGAAAGGACTCCAAGTTACTGTAAGAGCCAAGAGCAGAGGTTCTCAACCTCCCTAACGCTGCAACCCTTTAACACAGTTCCTTATGTTGTAGTGATCCCCCACCATAAAATTACTTCGCTGCTACTTTTTTACTGTAATTTTGCTACTGTTATGAATTTTAATATAATTATCTGATATGCAGGATTTCTGATATGTGATCTGCCCCAAGCGATTATGACTCACAGGTTTAGAACCACTGGCCAAAGCAGGTTAAGCCTGGACCTGGAGCAACAGCCCAGAGGTTCAGAGTACACACTTTTCTCGCAGAAGACCTGAACTCGGCTCCCAGTCCTCACTGTAGGCAGCTCACAGCCACTTGTAACTCCAGCTCCAGGGAATTCAATCTCCTCTCTGGCCTCCTCCAGCACCCACAATCATGTGCACATATTCCCACACAGTCACATACCATTACCATTTAAATTCTTTAAAATTCCTGTTTTCAAAAAAGAGAGAGAAATCCTGAAAAGGCAAATCTACCGAGTGTAGCTCTTTGGTAAAATCCTTAATAATAGAACAAAGGTGCTTCATGTTGACTGTATTATCAAAAGGGCCAGTCAGTCCCTCCCTACAGGGAAGCACAACAAACCTGAGATAGGAAGAGTTGGTCACGAAAGCACCTGCCCTGTTCTGGTGTGAAGGTAAATCTGAGCGGGTGACTGAAGCATGTGCATCCCATGTCTTTCCCGGGTCTCTCATAGCCTCTGCTCTTTGTGGCTGATACTGCCTTTCATTAATGGTTTTTAATTTAGACAGTAATCCCTTACACTCATAAGTACAAGAACAAAGTTTTGTAGAAATTTTTAAAGAACTTTCTGGAAATAGAAAATATCTTTATTTCCTGTGAGAAAATAAATAAGGTTAGGATAAATAATTAGCTTAACAGAGAGTATTAAGAAGCACTTGTCTACATATATATATGTATATATATATATAATATATATATGCATATATTAATACCAGGGTTTATATTGCTAATCCAATTAGAAAAACTGGAGGGTATTTTCACTGAGAAGTTAATTGAACAATAGAACTCAACATGGAGTCTCTGAGTACCAAATTATTCAAGTAAATGTGGTAGAGTGTAATTTGTGATGGGACCAACTTCTAAATCCGGCAACACTAGGATCCTCTCCTACTAATTACCAGGATCTTCATGAGGCGCATGCTGGTTATGATTTCCTGTTGGTGATAAAAACAGCTAATCACGGTGTAAAACTCCTGCCTGACGAGGAAGTAATAAAAGTGAATCAGACTGGCAGAACCCAGTCATAAAGCCAGTATTTATGGATGGCACCAGCGAGGCTAGCTGTGTAATTAATATGTAATTCTGGCATAGATGTGCTGATCTCTTCTGGAAAACCTATGCACCAGAGCATGTTCGAGTCTGCACCAACACACACTTGCGACTGGTGTTCGCTATCCAACACTGATAAGAAAAGTGAGTACGAAGAGGAGGGTGAGCATCAGGGTGATTGTGTCCTGGGGTGAGGCTCGCTGGGGAGCATGGGCCAGGGAGGACAGAGCACTCCCAGTCGGCATGAGGAAGGAAAGCTTGAGAAGAGGAAAGAGGAGAACGTGTTGAAAGGCTCTGAGATACAGAGGCTCCGGGACAGCCTGCTGAGGGCACGTGCCCTGTAATTCATTATTCTCAAGTATAGTGTCATAGAGAAATCCCAGCATATCCAGAAGCAGGGCTGTGTAGCCATTTGACAACTGTGGGAAGAATATGGCCTAAAATTTCAATTTTAAAGAAAAATAGCCCTGCCTTGGGATGTCTTTAATAGTAAAACCTAACTTTGAACGGCATGTCGGCAGAATCCTGCCCCTCATATGTCTTCGCTTTGTTATAAAAAAACAGATGCAGTGTGAACTCCACAGAATCCCATTCACGAACTCTTCTAGGTCTAGGTCAGGGGGCTCTGCCTGACCTTGCCTGGGGTTTGCCCTCCCTTGGGGAATGAAGTTGCCAGTCTAGTTTGAGATGTAGTGCAGGGCAGACTCTCCAAGTCATTTCATAAATGTCTGTGAGAAACACGTGTGAGGTGTCCCAGCCCCACATCCTCCACCTGTGGGTTGTGTCTCTAGAAAACTCCAAGGGTTGATACTCACCTTGTCCTCTTTGTCTCCCGCCAGGCTTTTCCTCTCTGGGGCACGTAGCATCAGCGCAGGAGGACGGGGTGCACGGATGAGCTCTTTGCTTTTATCTGTGGGACCAAAGCAAAGGTCATGAGTACCCCATTTGTCAGGTCAGTCATGATTTGAAAAATTAAGCAAAGATAAAATGTGGCTTTGGAAATGCAAACTGAGTGCCAGTCTGCAGGCAGACCCTGCCAACTTGGCCTTCCAGCTGTAGCCTAACGACAATGTTGCCCTGACACTGAGACTCCGAGACATGGGTCTCTCACCTGGGCCCCTTCCTGACCCAGCCAGGGACAACCCATAACATCTGTGTCTGTGACTCCCTGCAGTCCTCTTTCTGGCCTTTTCCTGAAGATGCTGACTGGTCCCGGTCTGTCCCCCATAATCTTTTAGATGAAGAATCCCAGGAAGAATGAGTACATGGAAAGTGTCCCCAACAGAAATCATCCAGGACTGGGACAGTCCTGTTGGTGAATCAGCACATGGTGGGAGGTGGTAAGAATACTACCAGCAAATGGCTAGCCACTGCCGTGGCTCAGCCCAGATGGCCCGTAGATGGCAAATCTGGATGCTATCGCTTTCCCTGTGCATCCCATTCCCGGACATTCAGGAACTTCCTTGGTGCCATCAAACGCCATATGGGCCAGTACTCAGCACGGTCTAAATCACCTTTGGTAATGCTGTGTGGCCAGACTACTTGGGTTGGGATGTGTAGGACCCAGGCCTTGCCCGGAAAGGACAAGGAAGAGTATATGACACAGAGCCAGCCTCTAAAAACCCAGCTGATGTCCATCGTGCACACCATGGAGCATCCCTGATGGCTGTGGAGAGGACCCCAAGCTGACCACACCTCCAGCTATCCCTCATCCATCACCAAATGGGTAAGGGGTTTTCCATGGGTTGGAGTGCATGACGTTTGAACAATAATTGCATGAGCAAAGGCATAGAGAAAAAGACACAATCTGTCAAGTCGTAAATGAAAGCCAAGTTGAAGTTTAAAGTTTCTTTTTCAAATTATATCTATTCAATGACTCAGAAGCCATAGCAAATTCTTTCGGTAAAAGATATTACACTGATGGCTGTTTTAACAGAAGAAATAGAAAGGGAAACCAAACAATCCGACCACACATCAGCTCAAGAGAAGAGAACTACTAGAGGAGCAGGAGCCGGAGCAGGCTTCTCCTGGTTTGAGAGACAGGACACTGAGACACTTCTGATTCTCAAGGGGGATCCATCTGACATCAACCTCTACTGGCACGGCCACATAGGAAGGGGAAGGTAAGAGAAGGCAGAAATAGCTCATCATGTGTATGTGTATGCCACATAAATATCCACACATGTGCACACAAGTAATATAAACATACAAAAATGATGGCCAGTGGCTTCCTCTGGGGAGACATCTGAGCCTGGAGGATGGGGCAGGCAGGGCAAAGCAGGGGAACCACCTTGGCACCTTCCAACCTGCAATCTTTCCTGGTCTACCACTGTGAATATCTTGCATACTGCCAAAACCACGCTCACTGTGCACACTCCACTTCTGCCACCCATCCGGCCATGGATGGTGGATAGGGCCATGCAGATCTGATTTCCACACTGGGCTTGAGGTTATCATCATGCTCGCTGTGGCTCTGTACCCTACAGCCTGTGCCTGCAGAGTCAAGCAGGCAGCTGCAGCGCAGCCTGTTCCTGAGCTGTGAGGAGGAAGATGCTCAGAGTCGTGTTCAGTTAGCAATTGTGCTTCAGAGACAGAGCGGCTGGGAAGCTCTGACCATGGACAGAGTAGTCATGCAGCCAGACACATCATGTGGACTAGGCAGAAACATGGGTGTTCCATCTCTGGCTCCTCTTCCCCATCTGGGAGTGGGCATGAACACCTAGGGGATGCCATGTATGAGGGTCCTTGTCCACCACTGTCACTCTGCAGAAGTCCTGGCCGACACTGTCCCCAGAGGACAGAGGGCTGGTGCTTACATCTGAAGGAGCAGCCATTCTTAGTAGCTCAAGATGTAGGCAAGCGTGACAAGCATGCGACCCTGGTGTCGTCATGGCTTCCTCCTGTCACTGTATTGCAGAACTGAACTTCCACACACACCCTTCCTTTCACACAGAAGCCAGACATGCTAATCACAGGGCTCCAGCACAATCATCCACAGCCACAACCAAGACACATCCCTAGGGCCTGGCCAAACCATCTACCCAATCCTTTCAAGACTGGCCTGGAAGAGAGTAGATTATAACTCAGAAGAAGAGTTCTTGTCCAGGATGTGTGAGGTCTGGGGTTGGATCCCCAGTATTGACAAAAATAGAAAGAAAGGAAGGGAAGAAAAAAGGAAGGAGAAGAGGGAGAATGGGAAGAGGCAGACAGGTTCACCTTGGGAGGAGCTATCAGCTTTCTATCCAGCTGGATAATTAATCTAAGTCACGAAACTAAATTTAAGGAAATGGGAAAACTTCCTCACCTATGAGGCCAAGCCTTGCTGCTGAGAACATCAAAATTTCTAGAGTTTGTGTCTTCGAGATGGCTCAGTGATAAAGGCTAACCTCTACAAGCCCAGAATGCTATAAACAGAGAATGCTACACACACACACACACACACACACACGATAGATCAATCGATCGATCGATCGATCGATGGACGGACAGACGGACGGACGGACAGACAGACGGACAGACAGACAGGTAGATAGAGAGATAGATAGATAGATAGATAGATAGATAGATAGATAGATAGATGATAGCTGGATGGATGGATGGATGGATGGATGGATGGATGGACAGATAGATGTGATTAATTTTGGAAAGACTTCTAGAACTCTGGGGTCATGCCTGAAGCTCATTCCTTTGCATAGTGTGAAGAAGACCTAGGCACAGGTCTCTGTTCTGACTCCACACTGGGTAACCTGCCTCTACCTTCCACAGAGCAGGTCCGGCAAGTCGCCACATGACCATCCTACAGACAAGTGAAGAAAGAACACATGGATGAGAGAAATGACCATTTGCTTTGTGACCCCCCCACCCACAAGGGTAAAAATCGCATTAAAAAGTGCACAAAACAGATGAACCTTGGTGTTAACCTTGAGTCAGTCTGCCTATACTTCCCCACCCTGTTACCCTTTCTCTCCTGCCCAAAGTGGGTAGGTATTTAATGGTCTAAAGAGTCAAGTGGACAGAACTTCGTTGCTCTGAGGTATAAAACCCGTGCAAGGCCATTCAGTTAACAGTAGCTGTAGTGTTTGCTTCTTCACACCCTCCAGATTCACTGTCATTGACATTGGCCTTGGGGTAGGACAAAACCTGATGCTTCTGTGCCTTCTTTAGGCACCTGGCAACGGAACATGTTTTCAACCCAGTAAGATCCCAGCTTGCTGTCCAAAAGCAAAGGACTCACTATGGAGATGTGGTTAGTTAGGTCATTGGCCAAGCTATTGTACTCAGACCCACCTACCTGAGAGGTCAAGGCAGGGCTACAAGCTCCCATAGTGGGATATTGTGGGATATCTCTGGAGACCAGTCCTCATCCTAAACATAACTATCAAGACTCAGGTGTAGTCAGAGAGGCAAAGCACATCCCTGCCATTCATTGCACCTTGTAAAAGACTCCAGTTTTGAGTTCAGTCTAGATACTCTGGGTATAGGAGAGCAAAGTTTGTTTAGGGGCTTATAGACAGGTATGAGGCTCTTAGTTTGCCTCCCCTGCAAAGAAAGGGGACAGGCAAAGGTTTGGACTGAAGTATATGCAAGTGTGAATAACCATAGCAGGAGGTCTAGGCTGTCCAAGGGACTGTGATGACAGACAGAACCAGAAAGAAGCGTGGAGATGGAGCAGCAAGAGGCAGCTCTTGGGAGAAAGAATCAGTGTCCTAAGAATTCCCACACCAGAGTTGGCCAGGGAGGGCCTCAGGACCCCTGTCCTTGTATTTTGCATGCAACCCTCATATGCAGGATGAGGAAAAGTGAGGCATGCATAAGTGGAATTGACTCCTGCCCACTGTGACCCAGCCCAAAGCAGACCCAGGTATGGAAAGAGAAAAGCCAAGCATGAAGGGAAGTTCGATGCTCTGATTACGGCTACGGACTTCACATATTTAATTACTGAACTGAGACCTATTTTGTGAGTGGAAGTGAGTGGATGAGATTTTACTACCCAAGAACGAGCCACAAGCCATTTGGTTTGGACTTTATCCAACATGTCATAAAGAGCAAGCTGTACGGAACAAGGCAGGGTGGACTTTGCAAGAAAGAAGCAAGGCTGGGTATGCCTCTGCCCAACATGCTCTGTGTTTACAATACAGTGGCCATGGAAAAAGACATGCATGCATCTTCTGAGAATATGCAAATTAATATCCATGGCCAAACAAGTCAGTAGAACTGGCAACAAGGCCAGGAGTCTGTTTTGCTATTCTTGAACAAAGAAAGCATAAGGAGGTGGTTTATCCCCCACCTCCTTATCTTAGAAAGGCACACTGAAGCCTTTATTTTACTGGAAACAGTTGATCTTTGGAAAGATCAGATTTTAAAGGCTAGCCTTGGAGATTCATGGGTTTATATTGGTCCTCTTGAGTGCTTCTTGGAGAAAATATTTCTGATGATCATTTTAAAGCCCTTCATGGCCGACACGTAGCCCCTGAACACCTGTGACAAATGTCTGCCCCTTGCCCTATGCAGTCTCCTTAATCGCCATCTCTTTTTAAGAGCCATTGATTTTGCAGCCCCTGTGGAGGTGCCTGGAGGAAGCTCCTTGGGCCCCCAGACATAACTGGGTCTGTGCCTCAGCCGTTCCACTGTGGAAGTGCTTACTCTACAGCTCTCCGTGGGCCGCTCGTGGGGTCTACTCTGACATGCGTAAGTACTCTTTGCTTTGGGCCTCTCCACAGACTCGGATGATGCCATCGTAAAGGACTCCCTGAAGTGGCAGAGAGAGCTGCTTTATGGAGCAAAATCAACAAGTTGTAAGACTTCAAGTCCCCCCTGTACCTGGGGGAGTGCAGGATGCATTTCCACCCGGGAGCAAGGCACGATGGAAAATGCCCTCCCTGCAATCCGTCTATTGATCAAGCCTGACAC